GTAAGGAGAGGCGCCAATTGTATGGAATAGGCAAGGGGCAACTCACGACATTGGGAAGCTTCGGTGCTGAAATCGAGATCGACGTGGTGGTGTTAAAAATTACTTTTCACGTAGTATAATAATAGGAAGCGACGTTCTGAAGGATGTGGAATTATTTTTTAGGCAAGGGACAGTAACGTTCAGGAAACCGAGTACGCGGGTCGCATTGGGTACTGATGACACCTATGAGAAAGCTAAAGAGGTAGATCCAGAGACCAAGGGTGATAGGTCCGGAGAAATTACGCCAGAGCAAAACAATGGAAGCACGGGAACGGTGCCAGTGCGTGAGGCTGCAGAGAATGCGAACACCGCTAAGAGCAGCTGAGACGCTGTGGTTGATACTGAGATGAGTGTATCGAATCGTAGGGCAGTAGGGTTGACAGGATTAACCCAGGGCGAATGTGTCAGCTTAGAAGGCGGAGATGAGCTTCTAAAAGAGTTTAAAGCGTTGTGCTTAGCCGAGAGTGAAGAGCCAGAGAGAGGGTTGAAGGGCGTCGGTCTATCGCATTTGAAAGACAATATTTCTAGGGAGGTAGAGGGTTTAGTTACTACCTTCTTGCCGGGAAAGCCGTCAAGCGTTCCGGTGCAGATGAATCTTATTCTGTCTGATGCTAGGCCCGTGTTTCAGCGTCCACGTCGAGTGTCATTTGACGACCAACGCTACATAGATCAACAGATACAAGTGATGCTTGAAGAGGGAATAATACGACGCAGCACTTCTGAGTATGCATCACCGGTGGTACTGACGAAAAAAAGTTGGAACAAAAAGATTCTGTTGTGATTTTCGCAAAATCAACGAAAAGATCGTGAGGGAAACTTTCCTATGACCCTAGTCGATGAGGTACTAGACAAGTTGCAAGGCGCGAGAGTTTTTACAACACTCGACTTAAAAAACGGGTTTTATCACGTACCTGTTGAACCCAACTTGCGAAAATATACGTCGTTTGTTACCCACAGCGGTCAATACGAATTTTGTTTTGTTCCATTTGGGATTACCAACTCACCCGCAGTGTTTTGTAGGGTTATATTATATTAAATACAGAGGTTCTTGGGATTAACATCGTTTTTTAGACGCTTTATACGAGATTACTCAATAATCGCCAAGCCACTTTCCGATTTGCTTAGGATGGATGAAACTTTTAAAATGGGTGTAGATCAGTTGTTAGCTTTGGAAGAGTTAAAAAAGGCCCTGATAAATGCACCGGCATTGAAATTTTTCGATCCTTCAGCGGAAACGGAAATACACGCTGATGCTTCTAAACATGGTTTTGGAGCCGTGTTATTGCAAAAAGATTCGGAGGATCAGTTGTTCCACCTAATAGAGTACATGAGCCGAAAAACCACATTGGCAGAAGAAAAGTGCTGCGCATTTGAGCTCGAGATCTTAGCGGTGGTGAAGGCATTGCAGAAATGGCATACTTACCTTAAAGATAGGAAATTTAAAATAGCAAGCGACTGCAATGCGTTCGCCATGACAGTTAAGAAAAGAGATGTACCAGATAGGGTAATGCGGTGGGCTATGTATCTGTAAGAATACGAATAACGTGGTCGAGCACAGATCAGGAACGCGCATGAGGCACGTGGACGCTCTGAGTCGCGTCTACTGTTTACTAGCCGAGGAGTCACTAATAGCCAGACTGAGAGAGGCACAAGAGCAAGATACGTGGATTAGAGCAGTAAGGAAGATCTTTGAAACAGGAAAATATGAGTAGTTTTTTTGAAGAACGGTATAATTTATTGTGACCCCCTAAAAGAATTGCTGGTAGTACCATCCGGTATGGAGAACGAGGTAAAGCTAGATCACGATCAGAATCATTTCACGTGTAGAAAGACACAGGAGCTTATAGAAAAAAATTACTACATACCCACCTTGGCCGAAAAGGTAGCAAAAGTTGTAAAGGGATGCGTGGAATGCATAATTATAAACGCAAAAAAAGGCAAAAATGAAGGGTTTTTGTCTCCGATCGATAAGGCTCGTGAGCCGTTAGGGACCTACCATATGGATCATGTCGGACCTTTAACCGAAACACGCAAGAAATATAATCACATCTTAGTGATAGTGGACGGGTTTTTGAAATTCACGTGGTTATACCCAACAAAGTCGACGGGGGTGAAGGAGGTGATTGATAGACTAGAAAGGCAGGCTTCGATATTTGGAAATCCTAAACGGGTGATAACAGACAGAGGCGCAGCTTTCACGTCCAACATCTTCAGAGACCACTGCAATAGGGAAAATATTCAACACCTACTAATTGCAACAGGAGTACCTCGAGGGAACGCACAAGTGGAGCGCGTCCATAAAACGGTCATTCCAATTATCTCTAAGAAATGTCAAAGCAACCCTGCCCAGTGGTACAACCACGTGGCCAAGGTACAACAGGTTTTAAATAGCACTATATCGCGCAGCACTAAAACATCACCCTTTAAAATTCTCACCGGATTAGACATGCGGGTAAACTACTACCCAGATTTGCGACAAATTTTAAACGATTTAACAGTAGAGGAGTTAGATACTGAACGAGACTTAGCAAGACAGAATGCTCAAGACCATATAAGGAAAATACAAAACGAAAAATGTAGAACGTTGAACAAGAACAGAAAAAAAGAAGTCAGTTATAACACCGGTGAGTTAGTAGCCATCAAAAAGACTCGATTTGGGACCGCTATGAAACTGAGGCCAAAATATTTAGGACCGTATAGGGTAGCCGCCAAGCTAAACCACGGTAGATACGAGGTGTGGAAAGTGGGCATCTAAGAGGGCCTGGTTAAAACGATAACTATAGCCGAAAACACGAAACCGTGGCGCTAGTTATTCAGAGTCGAATAACTTGTCAGGACGGCCGATTGTGGGAATGGGATATCGGGGTATATGGCAACACTATGTCAAATAAAAGTGCTGGGCGCTTAGATGTTCAATAATGTACTACTTTTGATTAGGGTTGCCACTTTTTAAAAATTATAAGATCTTCACCGTTTGTTGGACTAAAAACTGAGGTACCAAGTGAAAGTATTTGGTCTCTGCATATGAAATAAGTCTTTATTGTTTGTTTACTTGGGGTTTCCACCTTTTTAAAAATTTGTACGTATAATACGCGAGGACATTTTTTGTTAATGACTTTAGATTCGCACAGTTCATTCAATTTAAAAAAATGAGTTGTCAAATGAAAACGCTTGGCCTTCAGATTTGGAGTAAGGTTTTATTTTTCGAAGGGGGTTGCAAACTGTTCAAAAAATTTAAAAACTGTGGGCTGTTCGTTAGATTACAAGAAATGAGGTGTCAAATGAAAGTGCTTGACCTACATATGCGCAATTATATATTATTATTTTTAGTAGGGTTGCAACCTGTTTAGTTGTCAATCACACCTTGTTTAATATCTTCACATTCAACGCGTGGCAAAGCCTCGCACATATGTGGCCGGCTAGTATATTATATCTTAAAATTTTTCCGAAATATTTTGGTGGGCGTCTTCAAATATTCCGTTGCCAAGTTTTGAATTTTAAAAGGCACCAAATTTTCATTGGTGTATTTTATGGACTATATAATACGCGAAAGCTTTTTTGTCATATCAGATCTGTACCGTTCGTTGAATTTTAAAAGATGAGGTATCAAATTAAAAGGTGGCCTCTAGATATCCAATAACGATTTATTTTTTCGAGAGTAACCACCTGATTAATGAATAAATTAAAATTATTTAATAAGTTAATCAATTACAACATTGTGGGTATTGATCGAAATGGTTTTGAAAAAGCTTTGAGTGAAAATCTCTCAAGTGGGCCGGCCACCCAAAATTGGATGGTCAAGACAAACGGAAATAGCGCAAATTTGTGTTATTTCCCAATCGCATGTGAAATAACACAAATTTGCTTTATTTAATTTCTCGTTGAACAATAAGACCAACTTTTAAACTTAACAATTGAGAAATAAAGCAAAATAGTGCATATATGTAGGTAGTCACCCAGTTACATTTGACAAAAAGTAGTACATGAACAAGTTAAATGCACGGATTTGTAAGTCTACAATTTTGAAAGCGCCCAGCGTCGCGGCGGTCCGCGTTCGACGCCGCGCTCGCGCTCGCGGCTTCCGCCCCCTCCCTTCCTTTCGCAATTATGAACTGGTGGCGTTATGACCGTTTAGAAAAAATAATAATAATAAAATAACACTAGTTCACTTCTGAAGCTGCTTTTTAATGTCCAAGTAATGGGAATTATTGCGTATGGTGTTATTGCATGCACCCCACCCATGGTGAAATTATACCAGGTGTAGTAATATTATAGAGAGAAAAAAGACTTTGACACTGCCTTATTTGAAAATTTGCCTATAAAATGTGACTATAAGGCAGCCAAATGACAGAAAATAAAGCGAGGAAGCTGTTTTATTACTTCACCTGTTTATTACGCCATTCAACCCACCTGCTTATACCGGATATACGTAGTAGGTAAAATTTTACATATTTTTACATCACTATTTCGTACCACATGCTCGCTCCGTCTTCGCAAACGAAATCCACAGTTCGGATACGGACCTTTTGTTTGTTCCATGTCATGGTGGAATTATACGCGGTGAAGTAATCAGAGCGGGAAGAAAGATTTTGACACTGCCTTATATGGAAAATTGACTTTACAATTTGACTATAAGGCAGCTGAATGTCAGAAAATAAAGCTAGAAAGCTGTTTTATTACGCCATGGTTCCATGCAAATATTTTGAGGTTTTCTAGCAATATTTTCAACATATTAAAAAGCATGCAGACAACATTCATACAAAACCAATGTCCAATTTGCCGAGCAGTTATCAAAGAGGACGCCTTCCCTATATTTTGTTAGACTTTTCATAAGGAAAAATATTTGTTTAATTGTATTTTTAACCGACTTCCAAACAAGGAGGAGATTATCAGTTCGTCGGAATATATTTTTTTTTTTTTGTATGTATGTTACCGCATAACTTTGGACCACGTCAACAGATTTCGATAATTTTTGCATCGGAGAGGTAGTGCCTCAGAGGTGGTCCTATATTAATCTGGTTGAGATCCTATCAGTGGATCATGAGAAATATATATATATCTTTTTTTTTTATATGGGAGTTGAAGTCGGTTTTTTTTTGCTAAAAATTACTTGTTAGAATAAACAAAGTTCTTTTTCCTTCTGTCAGTAAACTGTTTTTGTTACAAATAGTATAAATAAGCAATGGTAAATAAGGCAAAACACATATTTTGGTATTATTCCCCAGTGAAATAAAGCAAATTTTGTGTTATTGCCGTTTGTGTTATTTCACCCCCACCCAATTTTATAAACAAATGGAAATATTTATTACTTCTCGATGAGATTTTTAATAGTTTACATTGAATATCAATCCTTATTGTATAATACATTATTTAAAAGAAAAGAACACGGAAACTTGCAAGGAAGCGCTAGTTATTAATTTTGTTCGCTCCTTCCAGGGGTGCTTTTGCCTTCATGCCGCGTGCCGCGCGGACTCGCAGCGAGCGTTGTGCAACCAGAGAACACAAGAAAGTAAAATTTATTTATAAACATAAGCATAGATTATTTAGTACAATCTTTTTTAAAGTTGTATACATAAATATGTACATTCATGGCATACATATTTATATAAGTACGTATGTACATATGTACATATGCATGTATTTTGTCTTTACAGAGAAAAATAAATAATGAGGATAGTATAATCGTTTGTGCCGCAGAAAGAAAAAAACAACTAAGCACTTTTTAACACCCCCAAAACAGTTTGCTACTTGTAGCAGTTATGCTTTATACCACCTGTACGAAATATAATCCTTGGTGAAAAAATGTATTTGTGGATTGTTGTTCAAGGACATATGTATGTATGCCCAGTGGAAAAAGTAATGTATAGTAATCGAAAAAATAATCAGTAAAACAACCCTTTTCATATTCGAAAATGAATTTTTTCCTCCAGGGCGATGTCCTAAGAAAAGTGGGGCATTCAATTTTGCATTACCTAGTATCGAGAAATGAATGTGTTTTAGTATGAAAATTTTGGAACTTTTTGAGTACATTAAAATACTGATTACATAGTTAGCAGTAATATAATCGAGAAATCATAAGAAATACATTATTTTATTTATCACGCCTCTAATACATTACTACTTTTCCGACTCGGTGTATATGTATATATAGATATGGGAACATATGCGTAAACAAAGAATAGAGGCCGGTCCGCATACTTACAACTTTGGCGTTGCGTTGGCGTCGAATTTCAATGCAGCCGTGCACATAGCCTAAATTTGGCAACGCTAACGCCAACAGAAAGCATAAAGTTCGCGCGCGTCGGTCGTCAGCTGTTGGAAATAAATAAAATTATGTTAAATATTTTTGCCTTTTAATCAAATGAGAGCAAGAAATATAATTTTTCATGCAATTATTGATATGAAATATTAATTTATCTGTCGGTAATATATTAATTCAGTGGCCAAGACATTCTCTGCCGAGCTTCATTGTAGAAACCATACTTTTAACGTGCAACGCCAAAGTTATAGGTATGTGGACCGGCCTCTATTCTTTGTTTACGCAAATTTTCCCATATCTAAATATATATACATACATATGTAAATATGTCCTTGAACAACAATCCACAAATACATTTTTCAACCAAGGATTATATTTCGTACAGGTATACAGCATAACTGCTACAAGTAGCAAACCATTTTGGGGGTGTTAAAAAAAGCTTAGCAGTTTTTTGGTTCTGAAGCACAAACGGTTATGCTATCCTCTTTATGTATTTTTCTCTGTAAAGACAAAATACATGCATATTTACATACGTACATATATAAATATGTGGGAGTTGTGAAGGGTTAAGGCTTGCTGCAAAGCGATAGCATTTGCATGTTCGACGAGAGACGAAGTTCAGTTGAAGAGAAACGCGAACCAAGCGAAGACGTGCGGCTAGACGACGCGTTTAAATTTCTATCTATATTATTAAAATTCAATTCTAACTCTGTTCAAATTCAAATCATTAAATATAATTTAACTTTGTTTAAATATCTTAAACCTAAGATACGCTCGAATTAATCATTGACATCATCATGACAACGGTAAATGAAATCCTACATAGATGGGGGCTCACCCAAAGACAAAGGCATTGAAGTACCGTGTAATTAAAATTTAAACAACACAAAAACCTGTAGCAGTGACGAGACGTATGTATGTTTATAAAAAGTTTAAATCGTGCTAAAATCTCGCAAATACAACAACAATTAAAAGGATTTTCATTTGCAAAATGGCATGCCTCAACGATTTTATTCAGAGGAGCCTGCGCAGTATGAGTAAGGCTAAAATCGCGACGCTACATAAATAAATTTTTGAAAGTGAAGGCGATAGAAATAACCGTCAACGACTCCGAGAGTTCTGTGGCTTTGCCTACGACGAAGGCAGCGCAGAATTCGAGCTATAAGCAAAATACGTGAATACAAATTTGAACGAACGCGACCTAGTAACCATTTGCAACATGTTAGGAATCGACTACAATGTAGCTGACGTGCAGCTACACATATTCAAAAATTTACGACGACGTCATTTCTTCTCTGAGCGAACCAACGACGAAGCTGATGAGAATGAAGACGAAGAAGATGAAAAACGATGCTAACAACGCCGACAAGCAGAGCGACAACGATGTGGAGAAAAACAGCGAATTAAGTGTAAATCGTGGTGAAATTACAAACTACTACAGCTTTCCTTCTGCTGCAAACGAGAAAAACGACAAAGCTATTAATTCAAACAAAAGAAACGAAAAACACAACGACATGCGCATGAGCAACAGTGCTACATACCAATTGATAAAATTTGCGATGACATTACGCGACGTAGAGGATTCAATTAGAATATTTGATGGTTCTAATAAGATTCCAGTGGAAGTGTGGGCACAAGAATTCGAAGAACAAGCTATTTTGATGCATTGGGACAGCTTCCAAAAGCTAGTGTTCGCGAAAAAATCATTACGCGGAATAGCAAAATTATTTGTACTGAGTGAAAGAGGCCTGAATTCGTGGCATACATTGAAAGACGCATTAATAAGTGAATTTAAATCTACAACAAATAGTGCGTTGCTACTCGGCTGTGCGGCTGTGTGAACGAAAAATAAAAAAAAACGGAGGTATACAAGAATATTTCTACGGCATGAAAGAAATAGCTTCACAAGGTAATATTGAAAATGCCGCGGTAATGCAATACATAATTGATGGAATTGCTGATGGGAGTGTAAACAAAGCGATGTTATACGGTGCAAAAAACATGAACGATTTTAAGGACAAGTTAAAGTGCTATGAAATTATGCGTAAACGCGCTACGAAACAAAAAAAAGGGCAGAAAATGTTTTAGGTGCAATCGTTTCGGGCACATTTCAGCGAATTGCGAAGAAAACAAAAAAGAAGTCAATGCAAATACTCGCCAAATCGTAATAAAGCGTGATCTAACTAACAAAAATGTGATAATCGGCGACAAGAATTATACAGTATTATTCGACACAGGAAGCAAATTTAATATTGTGACACACGACCAGTGTTGCCGCGAAACGTTTTTAGTGGTAGCTAAATTCCAGCTAAAAAAGGGCTAAAAAAGAGCTAAAAATCGTCGTTGTGGCTAAAAATGGTAGCTAAATTTTTTTACCTACATCTTCTTATATATAAAAATAAGTGCACGTTTTTGGTGTGACCTCATAACTTGACAACAGCTTCACCGAATTCAACCAAATTTATGTGGCATATTCGATTTATCATGCAGATGGTTTATGCGAAGTTTTCCCGAATTCGGAAGAGGGGGCGTGGCACCACCCATACTAACTAAAATTTTGTTGTTGTATATCTCTTGAAATATTTGTGGTAGAGTACTGGAATTGGCCTGTTCAAGAGTTGGCATTCCAAATTGTTTATTTATTCATACCCAAGATGGAAAAACAAAAAATGTTCTATATCCAAATGTGTTGGATTAAGATTTAAAATAAAGAATCAAAAATTTTGAAACAAAACAAATGATAAATTTTCATATAGAAAAATTCCGGGACTTTTCATTCGTTTTTCAATATTTGGTGTAGAGAAGCACACCGGGGTACTGCTAGTATAAATATATAAGTATACACGCAAACATTTTCTATAATTACTGGTATAGAAAAACAATGAACTCTGAAAAGAATTAATATTTTATTCAACAAAAAAATTTTTTGTGTAACACATAAAGCATATTAAGGGCCGCCAACTTACCTATTTTAAAGTATAGTTAAATCGTTAACGGATAAGATAACGGCCCAGAAACGTAAGGAACATACATAGACATATGTTTACTTGCCTTAAAGGAAAGGCGTTCGCTTTATGAGCGAAGAGTTAAATTCATGAAAATCATAAAAAAAAATTTTAATGTCAATGATGAATAAATTTTGAAAAGGGCTAAAAAAAGGGCTAGGGGCAATTTCAAATTTTTGTGGCCAAAAAAAGAATTTGGTAGCCAAATTTAGCCACCAAAGGGCTAAAACGGCAACACTGCACACGACGTGTATACAAATTTAAATATGCCGAAATTGAGTGCGTGTAATATTAGTCTAATTGGATTTGGTGCAAATTCAAACGAAAACAAAATTAAACCAGTTGGTTATTTTGAACACGATATACAAATAGACGGTCAAACATTTTATTTAACATTTTACGTGGTTTCATCTAAGTGTATGGATATTGAAGTAGTTCTTGGCGAAGAATTGTGTTTAAAAGCTGAAATAACAATAAATCGAGACGGTTTGAAAATTAAAAGGATCCAAGTGGACACTGACGCGAACGAAGAAATAGCTTTAATGAAAATAGATGCGGTAGTTGATAAATATGAACTCGACATTGATGTTAACGCAAGTGAGGTGGCAAAACGAAAAGTGCGTGAACTGATATCAGATTATAAACCAGCTAAGACTGCAACAACAAATGTAGAGATGCGTATAGTGCTAAGTGATGAATCACCAATTTTCTTGAGACCGCGCCGATTGCCTTTCTCACAAGCTGCTATTGTGGACGCACAAGTGGACGAATGGCTAAAGGACGGAATAATTGAAGTATCAAATTCCGACTTTACCAGTCTAGTTTAGTTTAGTTTTAGTAAAGAAACGAGATGGATCGCACAGGCTGTGCAGAGATTTTCGACAAATTAATAAGGTAATTATCAAAGACCATTTTCCACTTCCGCTTATAGATGACCTGCTGTATCGCTTACAAGATGCGAAGATTTTCAGCACTATAGACCTGAAGAATGGGTTCTTCCACGTGCCTGTGGCAGAATCCAGCAGAAAATTTACCTCATTCGTAACCCAAGGCGGCCAGTATCAATTTTGCAAGGTGCCGTTTGATCTATCCAATTCGCCTGGTATTTTACAGAGGCATATAAACGCGATTTTTAGAAATTTGACACGAAGGGGCATTGCACTTCCCTACATCGACGACATCATAATTCCAGCAAGAGACGAAAAACATGCGCTAGAGAATCTATATCTATATATATAATATCAAGAAATGTCAGTTCCTGAAAAGTAAGGTAACATTCCTCGGTTACGTTATTGAAAACCAGAAGCTCCGTGCATCGCCAGAGAAAATCGAAGCTGTATTAAATTACAAAGTACCGCAGACGCCGAAACAACTTCTCAGCTTCTTGGGGTTAGCAGGGCATTTTAGAAAGTTTATACCAGATTACTCAGTTATTGCGAAACCCCTAACAGACATGACAAAACAAAATAGGACATTTAAAATTGGGTACCAAGAAGAAAAAGCAATTAATTTTCTAAAAAAGGCACTAGTTGAAAATCCTGTGCTTGGTATTTATAATCCAAAATACGAAACTGAATTACACACTGACGCTTCAATAGATGGCTTCGGGGCTGTACTAATACAAAAATCGCCAGACGATGGGTAGCTTCACCCAGTATATTATATGAGTAAAAAGACTACAGATGCGCAAAGAAAATTCACAAGCTACAACTGGAAATACTTGCTGTGGTGGAGGCGTTAACTAAGTTCAGAGTGTACTTACTAGGTATCATTGGAGAAGAAAAGTTTGTGCACACGAGTAGCGAGATGGATCTTACTTTTGCAAGAGTTTGATTACATTGTGGAGCATAGAAGCGGCGTTCGTATGAAGCACGTCGACGCCCTTAGCCGATACGCAGTTATGATGATACGCGACGATGATCTAACCACTAGAATAGGTCAAGCACAAGAACGAACAAGACGAAAAATTAAAAGCTGTTCGAGAAATCCTCAACCATAATAGGAGTTCCTATGATGATTATTTTCTAAGAGCCAATATTTTGTACAAAATCTGTAATGATAACGAATTAGTAGTAGTTCCGGAAGGTATGCAAAACCAAATTAATAGCCGTGCTCATGGTAGAGGCCATTTTTCTATCAAAAAGACAAAAGAACTTATCATTCAAGATTTTTTCATACCAAACCTCGATGAGAAGGTTAAAAAATACATTACTAGCTGCGTGCCGTGTATACTGAGCAATCGTAAACTAGGAAAACAAGAAGGTTTACTACATCCGTTTCACAAAGAGGAGACACCATTATACACATTCCACATAGACTTTCTGGGGCCGTTGGAGTCAACAAATAAAAATTACAAATATATTTTAGCAGTGGTTGGCTCTTTTACCAAGTTTTGCTGGCTGTATCCCACCAAATCGACAACTACGCAAGAAGTCATATCGAAGCTGCGAAGCCAGAGTATGGTTTTTGGAAATCCAACAAATATTATCTTCGATAGAGGCGCGGCTTTTTCCTCAAACGACTTCCAAACTTATTGTGACAGCGAAAATATAAAGCTACTTCAGATAACAACAGGTTTGCCAACCGTGAATGGGCAAGTCGAGGGGCTGAATGCATTTATTATTTCAGTCTTGTCGAAACTCAGCATTGACCACCCGACGAAATGGTTTAGATACGTGGACAGGGTCCAGCAAACAATTAATTCGACATTTTCGAGGAGTATAAACACTACACCTTTTGAACTATTGATTGGCGCAAAGATGCGAACAAAAGATGATCACCAAATACGCGACCTCATCCATCAGGAAATTACAACACTATTTAGCAACGAGCGTTGCGAACAACGTAGGCAGGCGAAGTTGCAAATCCTCAAAATTCAGCAAGAAAACAAGAAAACTTATTATCTCAGACGTAAATCAGCGCATCCGTATAAAGTCGGTGACTTGGTAGCAATCAAGCGTACACAATTTGGTAGCGGTCCCAAGCTGAAACCAAAATTTTTGGGTCCCTACCAAATAACGAAAAGCAAAGGTAACAACTCGTATGATGTACGAAAACTTAAAAATTCTGAAGGTCCGATTAATTCAACATCCTGCGCTGAATATATGAAGCCGTGGGCAAAAGATAGCGACGCAACATTCGAGGCGAATGTATAACAGGATGGCCGAATGTGGGAGTTGTTAAGGGTTAAGGCTTGCTGCAAAGCGACAGCATTTGCATGTGCGACGAGAGACGAAGTTCAGTTGAAGAGTAACGCGAACCAAGCGAAGACGTGTGGCTAGACGACGCGTTTAAATTTCTATCTATATTATTAAAATTCAATTCTAACTCTGTTCAAATTCAAATCATTAAATACAATTTAACTTTGTTTAAGTATCTTAAACTTAAGATACGCTCGAATTAATTATTAGCGTTGGTAAAAAACGTAAGTGTGACAGCGTTAAATGAAATCCTACAAATATGCTTGTTATTTATGTACATATTTATGTATACAACTTAAAAAAAATTTTAATAAATAATCTATGCTTATGTTTACAAATAAATATTATTTCTTTTGCGTTCTCTGGTTGAACAACGCGCGCTGCGAGTCCGCGCGGCATGAAGGCAAAAGCACCCGTGGCAGGAGCGAAAAAATTAATAACTAGCGCCTCCGTGCAAGTTTCCGTGTTTTTTTCTTTTAAATAATGTATTATAGAATAAGGATTGATTTCAATGAAAACGATTAAAAAATCTGATCGAAAAGTAATAAATATTTCCATTTGTTTATACAACTTTTTTAAAAACTTAAAAATGGTATACAAAATAATGATTATTTGAAAAATTGAAACAATCAGGCTAAAGCGCGTCTAAGTAACTATTATCGTGGGAGAAATCAGCAAGACACATGCTATGAATCAGTAGATAATAAATAATAGTTAATAAAGTTAATAATAATAACTCTTGTAAAACTTTGAATTTTGCAGAATTGTTTAAAGCATATTTTTTTATAGTTGTTAACCGATTAAGTGATTTGTGCGAAAAAATCTTGACCTTCTAATTTTGGGTGGCCCCCTTGAGAAATTTTCTTTATTTCTAAATAATACGTAGAAGCGTTGCCACCTGCTAAAAAATGAAGTTCAACTTAAATCAAGGCAGTTAGAACATTGAATTGATATGGGTGTCAGGCGAAAAAGGTTGCAGTTCGCTAATATTTTGAAGAGTTTGCCACCCGTTTACAAATTAAATTCAACTTAAATTAAGGGAATTAGTTACTTTAAATATGTACCACAATTACAGTGTTAGACCAAGAATATTTAAGAATGTTTAAGTTTGAAGATATTTTGAACAGCGGGTGGTAACAGGGGTGTGTACAAGGTAAAATTCAGTATATATAATATAAAATGTGATCTTATTAATATCACGTATTCTACGTTTCAGCTTAGGGGATGTGGCTCCGACACAGCCCGCAGGTTAAGGTGAAGGCGCAGTCTAATATACATACATACATATGTATATGGACAAATATAGGAATTTTTTCAAAATATTTATATGCTTTATGTAAGCATTATATGTACTTTAGAACAATGTCCCATTTTCAAAAATCCGTGATTATTTTTTTTTCACTTTCCTGGCCCACTTGACGAGGCCTTCTCATACATATCGTCGCTTGGCGCGCAATACCTCGTACTCGCCAAATGCAGTGCCACGTATGTACATATAAGAAAGCACAGAAAACAATGCTTCCTTACTTAACAAAGTATATAGTTCAGTTGGAAATCCATTCAAAAGTTTTGAAGAAAATAAGTTTCTTTGCCCCTTTGTGAAATTTTCGGTCAATATTATACGTGGATATGAATTTGGCGTATGCAAGGTATTGCGTGTCAAGCGAAGAATTACATATATAATTTTATTGCAATTGGTTAATCAAATTTTAATTATTTTATATGTTTATGATTTTTATGCGTATAGAAGACAAAAATCCTTTTGGGTCCTTAAGTGGTCAAATTCTTCAACCTGGAGAAAAGACCACATTCGTGTGGAAGCGTAATGGAGTCGATTTCGATCCAGAAGAAAGATTCAAGGTTTTGTTTGGCGAAGATGAAGATTCATTAGCTCTGGTATTCCAACACGTCAAACCAGAGGATGCAGGAATTTATACATGCGTGGCTCAAACATCTACTGGCAATATTTCATGTAGTGCTGAACTTTCCGTTCAAGGTGCAATACAAACATTGCACCGAGAACCCGAAAAACCATCTTTGATCATTGAACATCGTGAAGCTAACACCAGTATAGGCGGAACAGCAATCCTGGAATTACAATGCAAAGGTTTTCCTAAACCGGGAGTTCAATGGAAGCATGATGGGGAAGTTATCGAATTAGGCGAAAAGCACAAGATTCTCTATGCGGATGAGGAAAGCATGTCTTTAGTAATAAAAAACATCACAACAGAAGATGCAGGTGAATACACCATACTTGCTAAGAACGAGTTGGGTGAAGAAGAATCGTCGATAAGTCTAGTGGTTAAAGGTATGTATGTTTTTTTAGTTTTAAAGATTTATCTAGAATGTTTATTATGTAGTTCTGCCAATGTAGGGTCGCGAATTTCTAAACTGAACATTTTTGCGTGGTATTCAATTCCTAGGTTCAGCTTCTACTTTGTTTGAAACCTTGTTGAATACTGCGGGGCCAGATGCATGTAGGGTTTATCGTGATTTCCTGCCAAAAGGCTTAGCGTCACGGTGCCCACACTTAGCACAACGGATTAATTTTTGCCTTAATCACTGCCCTGAAATGCAAGCACTTCAGTTCCAATCGGCCGTGTGTGGTGGACACACTTACCACCTTGGTAAGGCCGAAACCTACCTAAAATCTCTGCCATTCTTTGGGTCCCGGCACCCGGTTGAAATGCAGCTCCACATTGAACCCCTAACGAGTTCTACATTTAGGTATTAAACCACAGCCACCACGATACTCCCCGAAGAGGCCGTACCCATGAACAGACCGGAGTTATGCTCGCCGGCGAGATTTGCTCGATTGGCTCAACTCACCCTGACTCACTTAACTGACTCAACTCACACTAGAACGACTTACACGACTATTCATCTCCATTTCAACATGCACACTTCATACCATCATGCTCCGTCTTGCTCATCTCACACGTTTTACTCGCCTCACTCGCGGGCACCCTCCTCTAACCAGGAAAGGTGACACCACTAGCTCAACTTTCGCAACGGATCGAGTTGCTCAACTTGCGCACCACTTTTCCATCATTTTCCATGGTTTAGAAACATTTTCCTTCATTCTCACATTCATCAACTTGCTTCGTCTCGCCGTCTTACTTGCCTCGCTCGTCACACTAGGCACCCTCCGGGGGCAAAGGAGAGGTTGCGTGACTCGCTCAACTTTCGCAACGACTCGAGTTGTTCAACTTGCACACATTCATCATCTTGCTTCGTCTTGCTCATCTCATACGTCTTACTCGCCTCGCTCGTGGGCACCCTCCTCTAACCAGGAGAGGTGACACCACTCGCTCAACTTTCGCAACGGATCGAATTGCTCAACTTGCGCACCACTTTTCCATCATCTCCAGCTTTTACCACGGTTTAAAAACATTTTCCTTCATTCTCCAGCTTTCTTTTAACTTCATTTTCACCTTTTTTTCTAGTCGTGTTTGCCATGCTAATACTTGTCTTGCCAGTCTTGCAAGCCTTGCTTGTGTCACCAGTTTTCCTCGTCTCGCCGACGAACTCACTCCGGGGGCATCTGTTCCCCGTGGCACCATTTTAAAGTCTTTGGTATGACTTTCGAAAGCCGTAGACTCTTCTGCCAGTTGAGCCTCCACCGACTCAGGACTTTAGCCTTTAACTGGGGTAGACGGGGTTGTCAAGCCCGTACCCTGGAAATACCAAAGCCCCCTGTCTTCCCTCCTGTTTTCTCAAACCGGGCTTGGGACCGTCTAAGGCACAGTTAGCCAGTCGAAGGGAATAACTACCATTTAGTTAAAATTTGGTTGAGCTCCTAAGATGGTTGTCCCCTGAATTCGAAAACACCTTTATCGCCGTTGTTTTCAAGATTTCACAACCCCTGAGTCCCGAAAACCAAGGCTTACAGTCCCTGTGACTAGCCTTAAAGTTATCAAATAAAATTTATCACGCTGCAAAAAATCATAAGATGTTCGTAATTTGACTGAACTAAAGACGAGATAGCATAAAACCTTAATATAGTTCCACAATTTTGTCAAATGGTGACAAATTTTGGTCTTATGAGACCCAGTAGACAGATAACCATATAATCCTGTACCCAACATAAAATAAAGGTCCGTGTGTATTTCAACATAATTACCTAATTTTTTTATCATAATTGGGTTATTCACACTTGCCTAGTTAGCAGGTTATCTGGTTATGTGGTTATATTTTTTATTCAGTTTACAAAAATAACTTACACTAGAGAATAATAACTTTTAATCAGATAACCTGATAACCAGGCAAGTTTGAACAACCCAAATGTTTTCGTTCTAAATTTTCTTCTACCCAACAGAATGAAGTACATATAAAAAATACATACATTTTTTGTAATTTTATTTAATCATCGGCGGTTAAGCACTAATGTTTTAAAAAAAATGCATGGGACCAAACCGGGTTTAATTTGGTAATAAAAATCATCATTTACCCATTAAATTTTGTCGTTATTTGAATATATTTTTTCAATAGATAGGTTCAGATGGCGCAGCATTTGAGCGCAACCGTTGCGTCTTCTGAACGGCTTGATACATTCGCTGTCAAATTCATTTCTCAAAGGTACACACCAACATGTTGTATCAAATTATCAGCAAAAATTTACCATAACACGCAACTGTTCAGTCGATCAGAAGTACACAACAACGCGTTCAGAAGGTTCAATCCCAACAATTACTGAGCTCCTGCGCCTTCTGAACGTGCCCAGTGAAAATTAAATTTTTTCTATTGTCCATTTTTGTACTCGGTAAATAATATATGATGAAGTCGACGTAAGTGGGAAAAGCTTTTGACTGCCATTCACCTGGGAGTGGCCAGAAGTGATCCTTGTACGTACGGTTAGGGATGCAAGTCAAAAAAATACATTGATGGTTTTTTTTTCATTTGATGCATCGAAATATAGCATCGTATAAAAACATCGATATTTGCGATGCATCGAATGAAAATATCAACAGTTTCTTTCAATTAAAAATATACAACAAGAGAATGAAACAATCGGAGCTTCGATATATGTTTACGTATTAACTCACAGTGAAATGATGAAAGTTGAGTAGATTGAAGGTTTAGATGACATGAGTCGTAGGGTTGCCTATTTACAAGGGACTTAAATTTTAGAAAAACGTCATACATACCTTTTTTAAAGTGCTGTATCTTGGAAACCTTTTAACGAAACTTAATGAAAAAAATGTATTTCTTCCGTCTCATTATGGGTTTTAATTGTACATTTTTTACATTAAAGTGCAACGTATAAAAAACAAAATAATTAACTAAACATTTATCTTTTTAATTTTTTTTTGATTATAGCATTTTTACAAATTTTTATTTTTACATAAAAACATTGTCTATAATGTCAACTTTAAGTACATAAATGGGCGTAATGGGCTACTCACGTGTATGGACTCTAGATCATCTAACGCTCGAGCAATATGATAAATAGACATTGAAATTTTATGAAGTTGTATATTTTTGAAAGAGAAAAGGTGTGTAAAAAAACAAAAACAATATAAATAAATCATATTAACTTTACTAAAGGTCTGAAATCATGAAAATCCCTTCAAGGAAATGAGAGAATTGAATTTTGTTGCAAGTTCACACGGGAAATCTGCTTATGATATGATTGAAGGAAGCTTTAAGAGACTAGCAGCTAGATCAAGTCTTCAACTCCTAATGTTACAACAAATTCGTACACCCAAAGCCCTCCTCTACCAATGGGGTGCTTTATGTTTCCAATAAGATGCCTGTAAAAAATAACTGCAACTAACTCTACAGTGGACTTTATTTCGACTATGACTACGTGCCAATTACTTTAATCCTATATTAAGCTAGTTTAAAAGGTTAAATAGCATCAAGTTAGGGAACTTCATATCCTTATTTAACGAGTCTTTAAATCAATAGAGATTTTTTTTCTTCTTAGTTCTTTTTGTAATAAAAGCGTGTTGTTGGCTTTTTTAAACTATAATTTAATTATTCATTAGGTCTATTTTTACACACATTTCCTATTTCTTGTTTTAATAAAAGACTAACCTTAAAGCTATCATTGGGCTATCATTGGAGGTCGAATATTCTTTTGCAATGAAACCGAAACATCAACAACACTCATTGCAAAATATTATTAGACCTCCAATGATAGCTTCACTGTCACATCGGCTCTGCCTTCACTCTCGGGGCTTAAAATCTTTCAAAACAA